ACTTTTGATAGATTTGACAGGAGGCAGTGATAGCTTTTAAGAACTTTAAGTCCTTAGGGGTGGGGTGGAGGTGAGTCTTAACAAAATGAAACAGAGCTTTGCTATTAGGATGAAAGAGCTGATGCAGGTAGGACAGAATTTGTTGGGTTTCAGGGGGTGTCTGCGAGAATGTGGGCTGTACTGTATGAACTCCCTGAGGTGATTGAGGTAGGTTTGGGCTTTGGAATGCTGCTGTTTTAGCTACTCGGTCAGCCTGGTTATTTCCCTTGGAAATAATGGAACTGTTGGTCTAATGAGACTGACAGTGAATAATTCCTATAGCTTTGGGGCGATGGGAGGCTTTTAAGAGGTCCATAATGTAACCTGAGTTAGTTATGGATCCTCCTTTCGTTGTAAGAAGCTCACGCTCCTTCCAGATAGCTGTGTGGGACAGGAGGATATGAAAGGCATATTGGGAGTCTGTGTAAACATTTAAAGAGTGTCCCTTTGCTAACTGGAAGGCACGGATAAGAGCTATCAACTCAGCCTGTTGATTAGAGGTATGGGCACGGAGTGCCTGTATCTCCACTATCTCAGTATCTGATACTATGGCATAGCCTGCTCTATGGGTCCCATCACATAAAAAGGAGCTGCCATCTGTGTACCAGGTATAAGTGGCCTGTATATGTGAGGGGTTGGGCAAGTAGATCCTTTAAGATCTCTATGCAGGAGTGAGATGGGGAGTCATTAACATTAGGTTGAGGTAGGAGCTTTGAGGTATTCAGGGGTGGGGAGCATTGGAAAGTGAAGGTGGCATCTTCCACCATTGCCACACGGAGGGAAGGAACTCGGGAAGGGGGTACGGTTTGTAAGCCTTTGTAAGTTAAGAGATGGGACAGATTGTGGTGGGAGAAGACAGTGGTGGGCGACCCAAAGGTTAGGTTTTTTTGACTCACAAATAAGAAGCTCAGTGGCTCTAAAGCACATATACCGGTGCCCAGCCCTGAGTGGTGAGGTCCATCTTCTTTGACAGGTATGCTACAGGTGCAAAAGAAGGTTCCAGTTGATGTCCTAGGGCCCCAAGGGTATATTCCTCCTTCTCTGCTACATAGAGAGAAAAAGGGACGAGTTAAATCTGGGAGATTGAAAAGCTGGGTCCTGGATAAGGGCCTGCTGGAGTCTCTGGAAGGGATTAGTAACAGGATGGAGAAGGGGCTCATGCAGAGAGCTGAGAGCTGCCTTGTATAAGGGGTGGGCAAGGAGAGAGAAAAAGGGGATCCAGAAATGCAGGAAACTCCTAGGAATGATAAAACCTCTTCTTTTGCAGAAGGAACCACAAGGGACTGAATTAGGTTTTTTTTCTGTCTAGAGTAATAGCCTTTTGGATTGGGGTTATAGTTAATCCCAAATAAATGCAAATAAATGACAAGAGGGGTAGACAGTTGGGTCTTAGAAGGTAAGACTCTATAGTCCCTTTTGTACAGGAAATTTAAAAGTGCAGAGGTATCAGTTTTGCCGATCTTCAATGATGGGCTGCAAAGTAAAACGTTACCCACATACTGTATGAGTTTAGACTTAGGGAGAGACAGTGAGAGAAGGTCAGAAGCGAAAGTCTGGCCAAACAGGTGTGGGCTGCCCCAGAATCCCTGGGGAAGGACAGTCCAGGTGAGCTGTGTGGAGAGGTGAGTGTCAGGATCAGTCCAGGTGAAGGCAAAGATGTTTTGAGATTGAGGGCTGAGAGGAATAGAGAAAAAAAAAAAGCATCCTTGAGGTCTAGAACTGAGAAGTGGGAGGTGCCTGAAGGAATAGTGGAAAGAAGTGTGTAAGGGTTAAGCACTACAGGATGAAGAGGGACCACTGCGGAGTTAATGAGCCAGAGGTCTTGAACCAGACGATAGGTTCCATTAGGTTTTTTAACAGCAAGTATAGGGGTGTGAAAGGGAGAAGAGGTGGGGCGGAGTAGCTTTTTTCTTAAAAGGTCAGAAATAATTGGCTTATGTCCCCTAAGGCTCTGGAGAGAGAGGGGGTACTGAGCTTGGGTAATGTACTTAGTGGGATCTTGTAATTGGATAACACTGGGGGAAGGGTGTTTAGCAACAGAGGGGTTTTGGGTGTCCCAGACTTGGGGGTCTACCTTGGAGGCTGGTAGAGAAAGAGACACATTGGGGTTGGGAGGTTGGGAGGCTAGGAGAAGGGGGAGTGGAGCTGCTGGTGAGTCTGGGGTAAGGTAAATGGGAGGAGCAAAGGAAATGGAAGCTCCTACCTTTGCTTAAAAAAATTTTTTCCTATGAGAGGTACCAGGCAGGTTGTCATTACTAAAAATGAATGAATGAGATAAATACTCCTAAACACACAGTTAAGTGGTGGGATCTGCCGAGGTAGATAAGGTTGTCTCCTACTCCAACAATAGGGAAACTAGAAGGAGAAGTAGGCCCCCAGAATTCCCTCAGTACCGAGTATGTGGCTCTGGTGTCCTAGAGAAAAGAGATGGGCCGTCCTGATAATGTGATGTTTACCCATGGCTCCCTGTTATAGATGACGGTTGCGGTCAGGTCAAAGGAGCCCGGGCAGCCTCACTATCCATGGCCAGACCTAGAAGGTCAACTTGGGAATTTTCTGGGTTCGATGTCTCCATGCCACTACGTGCATGAGGACAATCGACTGCCCAATGACCTTCCCTATGGCATCTCGGACAAGGTCTCGTGGGACCAAGATGAGGATTAGGGCATGCTCAAGCCCCGTAACCAGTTCTACCACATTTGAAACGAGGACCTGGTGGTTCTCGAGCCCCGGGGGGCAAGGGAGCAGCAGGACAGCACAGGTCGGGTGGTCTGTCACCTCAGCCGGTCAGGAGGCCATGATTAACACGGGACAATGATTGTAGGCTTTCTCATTTCTCGCATGGTACCCCTTAAAAGCCACCTGTAGGACTTCTGACTGTGGGGTCAAGGGGTCTTTCTCCAAACGTCTAAGCTTAGCCCTAATGTCACAATAGCACTGATTAAAAAATTGGGTCATGAGTAACTGCCTTCCTTCTGTAGTTTCTGGATCTAAGTTAAGTTACTATACTGTAACAGAGCTTTTGTGAGGCGTTCCAAAAATGTGGAAGAATTTTCCTTCATATCATAAATGATCGCTGAGAGCTTAGTATAGTTTACCGGCTTGAGGGCAACCTTACGGAGACCTGCCAGGAGGCAAGTCAAAAACCAGTCCCTGGCTAAAATTCCACCAGGAGTATTATAATCCCAGTGTGGCTCTTGCTCTGGGACCGCCTCTGCTCCGGGAGGTGGGATGCAAGAGTCTGGTGAATAGCGTCTGCCTGTAGTGTGGTCTGCTCCCAAACTCGCCTGTGTTCTTCAGGAAGTAGGTTATTAGATAGGATCGTATAGATGTCATGAAAGGTGAGATTATAAGACTGGGTAAGATATTGGAATTATTTTATGAAAGTGGTAGAATTAGACGTATAGGAGCCCAGTATTTTTTTTCTATATGGGAAAGTTCTGACAGTGAAAAAGGAACATGGACCCTAATCAAGCCATCTAGGCCAGCCACCCCTCTCAACGGGAGGACTGTAGCAGGCTTGGCTTGGTTAGGGTTAGGTTCCATAGCAGCACACGAGCGTGTGAGAGGAGGGGTAAAGGTGGGTGCCAGAGCAGGGCAGCTGCTGTGGCCTGGCACCAGAGAGGAAGAATAATTTAGGGGGGCTGTTGGAGCAGGTGGGAGGAGGGAAGAGCTGAAGAGCACACAGCGGGAGGTGGCGAGGCAGCAGGAGGTAAAGGAACCAACATAGAAGCTGGGGCCACAGGAGTTAAAGAGACAGGGGTAGAAGCTGGGGCTAAAGCGACAGACCAGGAGTAGAAACTGAGAGGATGGGGGTAGCTTCCCGCTGAGGTTGAAAAGGCGGAGGTTCATTAGCTGGGTCCAGAGTGGAGGTAGCAGAGAAAGAGGGTTCTTCAGCTGCAGATGGCATAGCCAGGAACATGTGAGCTGGTGGACAGCTTGCAAGGACAGAGGGCTTAGACTTAGAGCTCAAATAGAAAAAGGCTTGGATGTAGGGAAACTCCTTCCATTTGCCTGTGCGCTGACAGTAGTTAGAAAGTTCCCATAAAATATCGGGATTAAAGGTGCCATTAGGCGGCCACTTTAAATTATCATCTAAATTGTAACAAGGCCGTTTTTTTTGAACAAAGGTGGGCAAGTGTGGGAATCTGCAGGTAGGGCGTTAAGGCCTGACGTTTTAAGGCCTCTGAAAGGCACCCCAGGGAGGAGGCTGGGTTGATAGGTTTGAAGGTTTGCTTCCCATGGTCAAAGACATGAAAACCCACAAAATGGCAACACCACAATGCCCACAGTAAGACGTCTCTTGACTGTGGGTGAGGTGTGAATCAGGGCAGGGTATGAATCAGCGCGACCTTCACACAACTCGTGTGGGTATCCCCTCAAGCCACGAGTGGGAAGGTAAGGCCTGGATGGATCCAGTCGGTGACTCGAACCCAGAGAGACCAGAAGCTGCTCTGAGCAGCTTCAGGAAAAAAGGGAAAGAAAAGAAATTTTTAAAAAAAAGAGAGAGATAACGAAGGATCTGAGGGACCCTGGGCCCTCAGTCGTGGGTGGATTGGCCCGGGGAGGTTCAAACTTTAACTAAGGGAAGCAATCCATAGATGATTGTCAGTGAAGGGCACAACTGTGGCCTCTGAAGACCGTGGTTGGGGGTGGTCCCCCCATCTCTAGGGACATCACAGGGTTGCTGGAGTTCAATGGTCAGTTCCGCGGGTTCGGAGAAATGGTTAAGCTGACCAGAATGGGAAAACTCACCAACTGAAGCTGGTGTTGTTCGGGGAGATTGTGCTCAGGTATATGGAACACATGGTTGTTTTTGAGAAGATCCCCGGTTTCGATTCCGACCCAGGAGAGGGGCCTGGGGCGGGAGAGTCTCCCGGGTTTCGGCACTAATGAAATTATCTGACGCGAATGAGAAGAAAACACAAGACACAAACAAACTCTCTAGGAGTTTAATAGAGGGGAGGTGCGGACAGGCCTGGGAAACAGTGTGCAGAGAGAAGGAGCAAATGACGCGTCCAACTTTTAAAAGCTGCCTAGCACATGCGCCCAGGGGCTTGGCATGACTACATCACACGCTGATGACACAGAAGACGGGCGACCCACGCATGCACTCAAGGGTTTTAGTTGAGTCACACGTGGAGGTCACCACACATGCGCTCATGTGGGCCATACAGGGCCCTTTGTTCCCAAGGGTCTGCCTGCATGTGCGTGCCCGGAAGTACAGCCTTATCTGTGGCTGAATAATTACACACAGAATGTTGGAAAGTGGTCCAATTCCAGGGTCCCCATGTGTCCTCAGCTGGCTCACCCACTGGCAGAAGGGAACATGGAGAGAGCCTGGACAAGTCATGCACCGATGTTATCATTTATAAACAGGTGGTGGGGGACAGGTCCCTCGAGGGTCAACGATCCCATGAGGGGCAGCAGCGGGTCACCTGAGGCTTCCAGGAATCCCCTTGGCAGGTGGGAGACTGCAGCGGGTGAGAGACAGACAGATACATCATGCAGAGAGAGTATTTGGGTATAGTTGATTTACTGGGCTATGGAGAGGGAAGGGAAGGTGAGAAGAGGGAAAGGGGAGAAAGTGGGGAGAAGGGAGAGAGGCAGAAGCTGCTTCTCCAGAAAAATGAGGGGGTCCACTTACCTCAGTGGAGGAGGGAGGTTTGGAGTGGACAGAGCTTGTCTCTTAAAGGGACAGGGTACCCAGGTGACAGACCAGGCCAGCAGATTATAACAGGTGTGATACAAAGGAGCTCCTCAAAGGTTGTTAGGCTCATACGTAGACCACACTTTTCCCTCTAATATCTGAAGTATTTGGTTCCCTCTGTTCACTTTAAGCCCAGCAGTGCTGCTGCATTTAGAAAGAAAGTGATAACAGGCAAGTGTTTCCAAGTGCAGCTGAGAAACTTCAAGCAAGGGAGCTAAGGTCCAGTGGCTGGCAAGGTGGGAGTTGGGTGTTCAGCACAGGGAGAACTCAAGAAGCCTGAGGGCAATCCTCCAAGAAAGGCCCATGCTTGGCTCTATGCTGTAGGAATTCCTACTTCCAGTAGCCTTTAAATTACCTGCCCACTTGGGTGTGGCCTCTTATACTATAAATGCCTGTGTAAAACGCACATCTGGCCTCTCTTCCGGCTGCGGGTTTCAGTTGCTGTTCCTGTTTGAGCACAGGACTGTGATCTGTGAGTCTACCCCTAAATAAATAACCCTCTGTCATACTCAATTCTGAGCTATTGTGAGATTTCTTTTAAGCGTCCACTTCAGCTCTACAAAGTGGAAGTCCAGAAAAAGAAATAACAACAAGGGTTCTATCTCAGGGGCACACCCATTCTGCCCACCACGGGCATTCAGACCTGAAACTGCAGGCAGGTTTCAGGGAGTCACTTGAAATCAAACAATACCCATTGCATCCAGACACAAGGAGAACCAAGTCATCCACAAAGAGAAGAGAAGATTAAGAGTTTTTCATATTTAATGAATGTCATCATACGCTGTTTGGTGAAAACGTGGGATATAGACTTTAAGTGTAAATAAACCAGGACTTTTGCTAAGGAATTCTTCAGTGAAGATTTAAAGCCATATTGACTCAGAGTACATGTTTCCATTTCTGCCTGCAAAAATATGCTTGGAGGGGAGGTTTGGGTTGGCAGGACCAGGTTGGCTTGAACTTGCATGGGGGGGTTGGGAGCTGTTTGATGAAACAATACCATGAAAAATGAACGTTCACACACCCCTGTTCCCTTAATCTCAGCAATGATGAATTCACAGACATTTTCTATCAGAGTAGGCAGCCATGCTTCAGCCCATGAGTAAGAAAGGAGTGTGTTGTCAGAGGCAGCAATTAAATTTTCCCCATTTCACGGGTGGGAGGAGTTTCTCTTCCTGTATCCACACAGTCTTGTGTATGGTCCATTACAATGCACAGTGTTCAGATCACATTTTGTGACCAAAATCAGGCACCCTGCCAACGACGAAAACGAAAGCTCTGCTTTTTCAAATCTCCTCACCTGTGGCGATCACAGAACGAGATGAGCACGTCAGCACAGGGAGACAAATGCCCTCTGAGGTTTCTCTCAGTCCCCAGGCAAGCTGTTTCCTTACACAATGAAACAGAAGCAAGTCTCTCCCCGACCTAGAAGCAGATATCCCTCTACTTCTGAGATGTAGACGCTATGCCACAATACTGAGGCAGGCTCTATTTTAGCCCCAGGTGGAATTCACAGAGGAGAAGGGAAAAAAAATGATGACTGTTCTCAACCACACCTCCATCCAAAACCCCCTGCATGGGCATCTCACTGTGGAAGCCCCCAGGGGATTCAGGAGTTATAACTGTTCTGATAAAGTATATTTCTTTGCTGATTAAGATCTCTTTGTAACGATCAGAAAGCATTGCATTTTCCTGTGAGCACTGATGGCGGCGCCTTCCAGAGTATGGCTGAGCATTCACGGTTCCTGGCCTTCTTCCAATAAATCACACCCTTCAGTAGGCAAACCCTCTGAAGTTACTCTCGTACACTTTATCAAAGAGTTGGAATCTGGCATGTCCCAGGGACATATATCCTTTGTTCATTGATACGAAGCAATCAGGCAGAGACACCGTTTCTCAGCACTAGCTGGCAATTTGGAAATCTCGGGAGACAAGCAGAAATTCATCTCGGTATCTGTCCGTTTAGAAATGGTCCATTTATCTACAGGAAATAAAATCATGAAAGAAATTTTAAAAGGAAACACACAACCTTGGGAAAAATGGGAAATTATCCCTTCATTGCTTACGATAAAAAACATTTACTGCCGTCTACTCACTGGCAAACCAAATAGATACGGCAGCTGGAGCGTGCTTGACCTCCTCCGCAAGGAGCCCATGCTTGAATTTTTTTTGTAGGCCTAAGGTAAATGACACCGGAAGCACCTGAAAGGAACTCCAAATCTCCCACAAAAACTCAAAAGACGGTGTATGGAGCTTTGGTCTTGACTGCCAGTTCTGAATCACATACCTTGGGACCCAAATTTTGGGCCGAGGGTGACTTCTGAACTGATACCCAGAGTGACAAGGCCTTTGATAGCAGGGATCCCTTACTTGGCAAATTCTGTGTCTCATTTTGGAGATGTTTTTCACCTAGGTGATGTCTCAGTGACAGAGGACCACTCCTACCGTACATGCCCCGTAAGTCTGCTGCCCTGGACACACAGAAGACACACAGACGTGTGACTGTCGTTGTCACCAGGGAAGACTTATCATCCTAGGCCTTGCTAAAAGACGACGACAGTATAAGTTAGTTTACATGACCCTTCAGTGTTCAGGGCTTTCTACATAAGTTGGTTAGATTAGAAACATAGTATCCAGACAGGAATGGCGGTGCACGCCTATAATTCTGGCATTGGGAGGTGTGAACAAGAACAAGAGGATCGGGACTTCGAGGCTAGCCTGGGCTACATGAGACCCAGAAAGACTACTTCCTCCTGAAAGATGCCCTGGAGTAGACAGGACCCTTGCAACAAGTCTCACCAACGGAAGTACAGAATACAACCACTGAGCCAGCTTGCTTGAGCTGGGCATAGGCTGGAGCTCATTGCCCAGAGCCACAAGTGACAGGTGGCTCCACATGGTTGGCACAGAGGCAGGGCGTCAGGAGCCAACTCCAAGTCTCTGTCCTTGGAATAGCACAAACATGCAATAACAGGACAAAGTAGTCAATGCCCACCAAACACCCAAAGTACAAAAGTAAGTGCCTTGGACTCACTGAGACCAGTGTTTATGTTTAGTCTGAACCTTAATGGTGGGGAAAAAAATAAAGGGAATGGCAAACAACACAGACTGAGGACCGAGGGTCGCCCTCCTTCTATCAGCAGAGCAATTAGAAGGCAGAGATGCTGACAGAGAGCCGAGAGGCACTAGGCTCATGCATTGCTCTGGGGATACGCAATATGGGGGAACGTGTGTACAGATAAACCTTGTGCCCTTTATCTTTGGTGCAGCCTCAACACGGCTTCTGATGTATCTCTCTGCAATATAAATTTAAATACATAAATACAACAATTCAGTCTGCTGAGGGCTGAAGGAGTAGTGGCTAAAACCACAGCAACGTCACACTTCCCTCGAGCGAATTTGATGCAGGCGGGATTCTATAATTTGAAAGGATGCCCAGAAAGGCTTCTGGGTGACCCAAAAAGGACCCAGGGCAATGCATCTTAATCTCCTCTCCTCCAGTTCAGGAACGGATCCACTGCTTCTGCCAGCAGAGTCTTCAGCACAGTACATTCCAGAAAGTTTCTCCAGATGGAACATCTGTGGCCTGGCCCAGCCTTCCCGGTGTGTGCCAACCAATATAATTAAAAATGCATCCAAAGTAAACCTCAGACAACTGAGCCCTCCTCAGCAACGTGGGGGGCAGGCACTGTTGGAGGGTGGTCACCCTGATTGGTGCGAACGTTGCCCCAGGTGCTCCGCAGCTGGTTGCAAAGGCTCATGAAATTCTATCCTTTCCAGTTCCCAACATGCTAAAAAGTAACCCTGAGAGGCCAGCGGCCCTGTCTCACCTGTGGAAATTAGTGGGACCAGCTCAGCACATTGGCAGAGGAAGGAAACTCACACAACAGACAACCCTGCCAAAGTTGGAAATATTTGCTTAACAGAAGCACATTGATTAAAGTTCCTCGAAGATCAAATTACTCTCCCAGCCCAGGCAATTTTATCCCAGAAGCCAGTGTACTTATATTGGCAGAGTATTGATAAAAATCCTCTCACTGTATCTCTGTGGGCCATATTAGGGCTGTTAATCTCAGAAGGGTCCCATAATTTTTCTCCAACACACAGACTCTTCATTTGAAAGGGTTTTATTTCCAATGCAAACAGTAATAAGGAAATAAAATCACTGATGTATGTCTTTCCAATATCAGTTTTGGTAAGAACTCTTGATTTCTATGGTCAATTGAGGCTCATTTTAAATAAAGCAAGCTTTGCTTCTTCCAACAAACTCCCAGGGCTAATTGCTTTTTCAAGTTCTTGGCCATTTTGAAAGAAAATAAAAAGTGGGGCCAAAGCCATTTTTGAACCGCACAAGCAAGTAAACCGCCAAATAAATAGAATTCCCGTGAGGGCTGCGACAAGGGAAAGGAGTCAGCAAGTCCAGACGGCACCTGAGGGCTTGGGCACTGTGAGCTGGTGTGAGGCCTGCCACTGGCTCACAGGGGCTCTGAGACTGCTGAAACCTGATTACTACCCTCATGAGCTGAGATGCTGAGTTTCTATGACAACCCTGAGAAGCACCCTCATCCAGCTGCTATGGGATCACTCACAGTCGAAGAAGAGTGAACTCGGATGCACATTCATGTGCTTCCTAAGGTCGGCTATGAAGGAATGAGAGAGCCGCTCAAACCCTGGCCCACATCACTGAGAGGAAGGATCCCGAATACATACCTGAGAATATCCCAGTGTGCACCTGTTCGTACCACGCACCTAAACACGAGGCCGTTAAAAGGCCCCAGGGACTGCAAGAGCAAGGGAAGCCACTCAAGTGCCAACTGACCACATACCTGCCCTGTCATGCCTCCAGCACCCAAGACTCTTGACCACCTGTATTTTCCACGCTGAGATCATGCCTGAAACTACCCTCTCCACTTCGCGCCTGGTGTGAACCTCCATACCAAGGGAAAATACAATTTCCTTTCGTTTAGATGTTTTTCACCAATCATACACATGATGCCCAGATTCCAATGGCAGTGAATGTCGTGGGGAGGTTCCCTAGTAGACAAAGGACCAGTACCTACACTCTGCCAGAAATCATAGGCACCATTCCTCCCAGCCACCTCCCTCTGAAGACAGGATGCTACCCTAAGCCCTACCCTCACACCTGAGCGTCGCTGGAGGGCCAAGGGCACACACAGAGAATCAACAGGGCGGTCTCGACGGTAGGAGTTAGAACGGGCTGTGTTCATATCAGCTCATCAAGAACTGTGTTCATATCGGCTCATCGAGCAGAGGTGGGATGAGAAGAAAGTTGCCATGCGGAAGTACTAGGTTCCCTGTTCCTGCCCTTATTTGCTTCACTTAGACTCGGCATCACGACTCTGTGAGAAGCTGTGCTTTGGCCTCACCTGGGGCTCTTGCAGATCAGATGTTGAGCTCCCACCTGAGTCAATTGAGTCACAGTCTCTCAGAGCAGGATTCGAGCCCCTAGGACTGGCCAGAGCAGCCAAGCCTTAAGGATCACTGAACCCAAAGTGATCAGGACTACTTTCCTCTATTGGATTGTGAACTGCCCAATCCTAAAACTCTAGAACTCTAGACCTAGGCAGGAAAATGTCACCCAGGAAAGTGGACATTGGCTAGACCTGGTTGGGGACACTTTTAATCCCATCAATCTAGAGACAGAAGCAGGCAGATCTCCATGAGTTAAAGTTCAGCCTGGTCTACATAACAAGTTCCAGGACATCCAGTACTTTACAATGAGACCCTGCTTAAATAGAGACTAGATGTTTGTTCTGCATGATTTGGTGAGTGAATGTAATTTTGATTTAGGTTCTGAAGGATTACTTCTATCTTTAAAATACAGAGTGGACTAGAGAGGTGGCTCAGCAGTTAACAACACTTTCAAAGGACTCGGGTTTAATCCCCAGCATCCACATGGTGGCTCACAAATCTCTGTCACTCCAGTTCTAGGGAGGGAATCTGATATTCTTTTCTGGCCTCTGTAGGCACAAATCATGTACCATGGTGCAGAGACGTATATATATATATATGCAGCCAAAACACACAAACACATAATTTTTGAAAAGGAAAACATAGAAGCAAATATCACAGATGTACCGATTTTTCGGATAAAATTTCTTTCCTTTTCCACATGGATGTAGATCTGCTGCTCCAATGCCTGCTCTGCTTGCTTGATGACTCAGAGTGAGCAGTCAAGTGCAATTGCAAGTAGGATTTTCCATATAAATTATAAATACACACATACACATGGGGGGGGGAGAGAGAGAGAGAGAGAGAGAGATCTGGCTTGTGACAAACTGCATGCTCCAGTTCCTGATAATAGATCTGCAAGGTATATCATTTCTTCTCTGACACTTGGATGGAAAACTCAACATTTCATATGCTGACCAGGAAATGGCAACAGCAATGGGAGCTTCCATTTTGGATCATTTCTATATTTATTTTTTAATATCATCCTAAAGGGCTCTGGTTGCCGATAAATTCAAGCAGTTAAAAAAAAATAATACTGTTAATAGCGTCTTTAAGTGGCCTTTTATCCTAGGGAAGGGCTCAGCCTCTGGCCATCCGTGTAATTAATCCTGATAATGATACCACCTGAGCTAGGCTCGAGTCCAGCTCCAGGACTCCAATTTACACTGGGGGAAATGGGGAGTCTAAGGTTTGCTCAGTCATCAGTGATGGAAGCAGACAGGGAACCAGAATCCCTCAGCACCCAATGAGAGAAAGGACAGAGAGAAAGGAGAGAGGGAGAGAAGGAGAAAGAGAGAGAGAGAAAGGTAGGATATAAAGGTAGAGAGGGAGAGTCATTCCAGTCACCCTGTCCCAACTCTGAAGCTTACCATGACTGTGAGACTTTCGGGCAGATGACGCACACCCCTCTGCAGGCCACAATCCTCTCTGTAAGGAGAACTGGTTCAATAGACAGAATCCCAGGAGTCTTCCCCAGTATTGATGCCTGAGGCCTGCCTGCAGACCTCT